ACCAGCAAAAGCATTCCCCTCTCCAGACCTCTCCCCACTCGATTCATGTCCCACAGAAGTGTGTGTGATTGGGAAAACCTAAATTTGTCCTCTAGCCATAGCTGTAATGGAGTCTGGGAAACAGTTCTAAGATTATCAGCCTTTAGAGTACAGGAATGCTCACTAGAAGGATGTGAGACTGATATCAGCAAGTTGGTCTTCCATATCCACCCCACTTCTCTGCTCCGCACTCCAAACAGAAAACTTTGGGTCAAAAAGAGGCCTGTCTTAAGCCCCATAATAGAGAATGACAGACTCATCCAATTCCTAAACCAGAGCTATCTCATAGACGCAGAGAACTTTGAATAAAAGGAAGCCCAGTCACTCTTGAGGAAGGACTCTGCTAGAACATTATAAGCACACACTGTATGTCTACCTCCTAATCTTCCCCCATAGGAACCCGTGGGCATTTACAAGAGTAGCTATATAACAGGGGGAGAAAAGTACCCAGACCTTCATGGATGACTGGATACTGACTCTGCACTAACTCTAAGCCCTGAAAATTAGAGGTTAGCAGAACCACACCGTGGTTCACCAGTTAGACTGGAAGCTTATGCGTGTTTATGTTATATCTGTCATTTTGATCACTATTCTTTCCCAGGTACATCCAAAAACTACATTTCCCAGCCTCCTTTGCCACTAAATGAGGTTCTGCACCATGTGATCTTTAATTTAGAAGGGAGGCATATGAGGAAATGGGGCTGACTCGATGGCTGATACGGTGTGGTTCTGAAGCTCTAGCTGTGGATACTGTTTCTTTTTTTTTTTTTAATGATTTATTTCTTTCTGAGAGAGAGAGAGAGAGAGAGAGACAGCATGAGCAGGGGAGGGTCAGCAAGAGAGGAAGACACAGAATCTGAAACAGGCTCCAGGCTCTCAGCACAGAGCCCGACACGGGGCTCAAACTCACGAACCGTGAGATCATGACCTGAGCCGAAGTCTGACACTTAGCCAACTGAGCCACCCAGGCACCCCCTGTGGATGCTGTTTCTTAATTCAGCAGGCCACATCCTGACTTGGAAACTCCCTACTATTGCCAGAGGTGGTAACACCTTTGCCAGACCCATTCTGTTGTGTCATTTGGGGAGGTGTTAGAAATTTAGCCCCGGTTTTGTTCTCTAATTGTCTCCTAATGATTCTTTGAAGTATCAAGAGCTCTTATAAACCCCTTACTTGTTAAAATAGGCAAAGTAGCTTCTGTTGGTTGCAACTGAGAACGTGACCAATATAGAGGGTCAGGTAGCAAATTAAGGGTTTTTTTTTTTTTTTAGGTTTATTTCTTTATTTTGAGAGAAGGGGGGGTGGGGTGACACACAAGCAGGGGAGGGGCAGAGAGAAAGAGAGAGAGAGAATCCCAAGCAGGCTCTGCACAGTCAGCATGGAGCCTGACGCGGGGCTCAAACCCACAAACTGAGATCATGACCTGAGCCAAAATCAAGATCAGACACTTAACCGACTGAGCCACCCAGGTGGCCCACCCAATAGTACCCTAGACCCATCCTGTGGTTATTTCCTACTGTCTGCAATGGAATAGATATAGTCAGTAAGTGGCTCCCTAATCCATGGAGTAAGGGTTTTTGTGGTAAGAAGACCCACTAACACTACATCTCTAGGAGAATGACAGAGATTAGCACCTCAGAAAAGATTTGATAAATTCAGAGTTGATGACTCTGATCAATTAACTTCTCATTTTCCCTGAATATAAACAGATGTTAGGGAATGATTATTTTACAATTTATCACATGGCTATTCCAATAGCAATCATTGACCCAGATTTGGTCTACTTATTAGAACAGACCACATAGTCTCTGGCCCCTGATGTGGAAAACTCTTTTTTCCTTATCCCAATAAGCAAAGAATAGAAGAATATGTTTGCTTTCATCTACAGAGAAAGCAGTACATCTTTCCCAGGATATGCAGAGAATCAGACTTAGAGTATATGCAACCAGAAACTTTGCTGAAATCACACTAAAGAATTTCATCAGGAAGGGGCACCTGGGTTGTCGGAGGCCGGCTCCGGCAGGTCAGGAGTCCCCAAAGTATGGACAGTGTCGGCCAGAGAGAGAACGAGAGAGCCCCGAGATTCTTTCTGATCACCAGGCAGGCATCTCTGTCCTGTCGGTTTTGGTGTGTTTATCTAAAGGTTCAACAACAATATGAGGTCAGAGAAAAGGAATTTCTTACAATGAGAGGCCTTTTGTGATATCAATTGCAGAATTATCCCAGTCATAGTGAATTTACGACCAAGGAAATAACAGGATGCTCTTAGTGAAAAACAGGATAACATATAGGTTAAGTTGTATATAGATAAGCTAGGAGTCATTCTGTCTGGCTCTCAAGAGGATGAATGTTTCTGAATTGGTTTGTTTGTGGAAACTACCAAGGGGGCTCTATATGTATCACTCTTTGCATCCGGGTTTATGTTTTAATTACTCTTATCTATCCTCATCCCAGCTGCCAGTGTAAGGGAGGGTGTTTGTGGAATGTAGGCCTTGAGGAAGGGACTGCCATACATCACCAGTTAGTAAGTTATGTTCTGTCCTTATTTGTACCTTAACTGTAAATTAGGTTCTTCTGACATGGGACCAGACTCAATTGTAACTCTTATGTTCTTAACCCCCTTTATTATCTAAGTCTTGGATCTGCAAGGCCCGTAGGAAGAGCCTTTTGACAATCATCCACAGAGCTTTCATCTAAAATCTCTTTTGTAAAGGCAGGAATATGCTTTTCCTTATGAAGTATCTGTGTTCAGAATATGGGTCTTATATGGAATATTGTGAGGCCTGGTCAATACCAGCAGGCTTATTTCCAACATGAGCCAATAGTAGCAGAAGGAGATACCAGTTTTCATTTCTCATGGCAGGAGCTGTGCAAACACTGCCATTTCCTTGCTGTGACTGCCATCCAGAGAGGCCGGTGCGGCTCCCAGCACTGGGTGGCTCAGTCAGTTGAGCATCCGACTTCAGCTCAGGTCATGATCTCCCAGTTCGTGGGTTTGAGCCCTGGCTCTGTGCTGACAGCTAGCTCAGAGCCTGGAGCCTGTCTTTGGATTCTGTGTCTCCCTCTCTCTGACCCTCCCCTGCTCACGCTGTCTCTATCTCTCTCTCAAAACTACATAAAACATTTAAAAATTTTTTTAATTAAAAAAAACAATTTTTGCCAGGAAGACCCCACTGCTGTTGCTCCTGGGCATAGACATCGCAGCTTAAACTCTTGATGTCAGGCGCTACATATCCCTGCAGGGGCACACTGAGAATCTCCATCCAGAGCTACTGAGGACCCCCTGCAAAGCCAGCCCCCACATTTGGGTCTTTCCAGCCCAGGTGCCAGACATATGAGTAAGACTTCAAATGACTCCAGCCTGTGAGGCACAATGGCACCAAGTGGAACAGAGGTGAGCTGTTCCCGCCAAGCCCCCAAATCAATGTTGTTGTTTTAAGCTTCTAAGCGTTGGGGAAGTTTTTTGGGTTTTTAAATTTTTCTTAATGTTTTTTATTTACTTCTGAGAGACAGAGAGAGAGAGAGAGACAGTATGAGCAGAGGAGGGTCAGAGAGAGAGGGAGGCACAGAATCTCAAGCAGGCTCCAGGTGCTGAGCCATCAGCACAGAGCCCAACACTGGGCTTGAACCCACTAACCATGAGATCATGACCTGTGCCAAAGTCGTATGCTTAACCAACTGAGCCACCCAGGCATCCCAGCTTTGGGGAAGTTTAATGTGCAACTGTGATAATATCTGGAATATAGGCTGAGGAGCTGTCCATCCCTAGTCAGGATAAGGAATCGTATATCAGGCCCAGTCTGAATCTTTGGAGAACATTGTTGGCTGCTGTTTTGTACAGTATCCCTTACTCTGCCTTGGACCACTTTATTTGTGCTATATTTTTCACTCTCAGTGAAATCCAAAGCAAAAACCACATTGTCTTTGTCTTCTTTCCCTCTGTACCTGACATATGATCTGCTCATAGACTACGGCAGATTGTTGGCAAAAACTGGCCTCAGTCATTGCCCTCCCTATATCCATGTCCTTGCCCTGTGACTTTGTAGCTCCTCCCATCGAGAAGAGTTTATTTCCCCTGCTTTTGAATCTGGCCAAGGCTGGGAGTTGCTTTGGATTATAAGATACAGCCAGAGTGACTCTCTGAGCCCAAGCCTTAAGAGGCCTTGCATGCTTCGGCTCATCTTCTCAGGACACTTGCTTGAGCTAGCCAGCTGGAGGATGAGAGGTAGTGTGTCATTCACCCCCAGTTCCCCCAAACAGCATGTAGCCAAGCCCCAGAGGCAGAACCACTAACCAAATTACAGCTGGCCACAGATGCTTGAAGGAAAATAGAACCGCCCAGTCTAAACCACCAACTGCATGGGGCCCCTGGGTGGCTCAGTCGGTTAAGCATCTGACTTCGGCTCAGGTCATGATCTCACAGTTCATGGGTTCAGGCCCCACTTCAGGCTCTGTGCTGACAGCCTGCTCAGAGCCTGGAGCCTGTTTCGGATTCTGTATCTCCCTCTCTCTCTGACCCTCCCTTGCTCACGTGCTCTCTCTCTCTCTCTCTCTCTCTCAAAAATAAATAAAACATTAAAAAAATTAAACTACCAACTGCAAAATCATGAGCTAAATAAATGATTATTATTTTAAGCCACTAAATTGTGGGTTGCTTTGGTTACAAGCAAAAGTCAACTGATAGAAAACCTAACCAACACTTTTCGAAGTGGATTCAGCTGATTCTCCTTCACCTCCTTTCTGCCCCTTCTTATCCCAAAGGACAAATGGGTCAAAGTCCAAGTTTGATTTGCAGTAGGAAAGCTTTATTAGGAAATTGAGATCAGGCAGGGAATGGGATCACCCCCAGACCAAACAGTGGAAGAGAGGTCTCCCCAACCCTCCCAGGGGAGGGAGCCAATGGGCAGCCAGAGTCACACATGCCCACTCAGCCCAGTCCCAAATAAGCCCGGGGTCTCGTTGCCAGCCATCCTTGATGACAGAAGACAATAAGCAAGCTTTGTCAGGGGGCTGCCTTTCTGGGGGACACTTGGCTGGGGTGGGGCCAGAAACATTTACAGGAGCTCTAGTATCGACTCTGGAAGCCTGTGGAGAGAGGGAAGGGAGGTAAAGGTGAGAAGAGAGGACTTAAAACACAAGGCAGAGAGACTGGGACTTAGAGAAAGATAGGCATACTGGGAGCAAGGAGACTGGAGCTCAAAGACTTGGAAGGACCCTGGGGTCCTAGTGGCCCCCATCCAATTCCTAAAGCTCTCCTGCAGTAACCCTGACTGATACTCTCCCATTTCTGAGGATAAAGTTTTGTAAGACAGACCCTTCCTCCATTCAATAGCTTTATTAGTAAATTTCTTGGATATTGAGGCAAGGATGGCCCAGCCTCTGCCCATACATTCACATCCATGGCCCTGTGGTGCCGCTTGATGCACAAAACCACACCAGACACCCGCGACAAGGACAGCTCCCATGCATGTCAAGTCTTCTCTGAGCTAAACGTCCCCAGTCACGTTACCCGGACTTTTACTACAATTTGATATAATTCATAAAATTCAGCATGCACAAGGGGAAACTTTCTCTGACCTAGAGACCATTTTACTGTTTGACTCTCCTACATTAGATGATTATGTTCAGTGTATGCCCCTTTAGACAGTTGCACCACACAACTGACTTAAATGAGCCAATCACTGACTACAGTACCTGAACCTCTTTTCTACCTGAGCTTTTGCCAATCCAGATCTTCCCATCCTCATGATGATGAAAAGCACTGGCTGTGGAGACCCATAGAGCTGAGTTCCTCATTTATTAATTGTATGACCTTGAATAAGCTATTTCTCTTTTCTGAACCTCATTTCCCTTATCTCTAAAATGGGGGAAATAATACCCACCTCATAGGGTGTGGCAGGAAATATATAAGATAATGCACAATTCCCAACCAATCTCCTATGCTATTGAGACTTGGGCCATGTGTAGATTTTGGTCCTAGCCTCACCCAAAGGTCTGTCAAAATTAATGATAATTAAGAAACAAGGGAAAGTCTATAACACCCTACTAGAGACCTCACTAAACTCTAGTTCTGTTTGGAGTATGTAATCCCCAGAGAAGCTCAAAGATACTCAGAAATGGGTGGTACCATGACAGCTTAACACCTGTGCCTCCCTGACCCCATGAGCTAGAGTTGTTCCTTACCTTGTGTATCATCACATTCACCAGATTTTGAGGAAGAGGACTGGGATTGAGATGATCTTCCACTTCCTCCTCCATAGCTGCCACCACTTCCGCCTTTGGATCCACTTCCTCCTCCATAGCTGCTGCCACTTCCTCCTCCAGATCCACTTCCTCCTCCATAGCTGCCTCCACTTCCTCCTCCATGGCTACCTCCACTTCCTCCTCCAGAACTACTTCCTCCACCATAGCTGCCACCACTTCCTCCTCCGTGGCTACCTCCACTTCCTCCTCCAGAACTACTTCCTCCACCATAGCTGCCACCACTTCCTCCTCCGTGGCTACCTCCACTTCCTCCTCCAGAACTACTTCCTCCACCATAACTGCCACCACTTCCTCCTCCATAGCTGCCTCCACTTCCTCCTCCAGAACTACTTCCTCCACCATAGCTCCCTCCACTTCCTCCTCCATAGGTGCCTCCACTTCCTCTTCCATGGCTACCTCCACTTCCTCCCCAGGATCCTCTTCCATGACTGCCTCCACTTCCACCATGATATCCACTTCCTCTGCCACCCCCAGAGCGACTTTGTCCAGATTCATGAGATTCACTGAGAATGAAAGATAACAAAGAAAGAAAATGAGAGACCCCACTACATACACAAGGATCGACCTGAACAGAGTCAAGACCCAAATGTGAATCTTTCTGAGTTTTCCTTCTGCAAGCTAGAGGACAGACTGGGCTGGCGCCACAGCTGGAAAGGAGAGCCTCCTTCTCCCTGGAACAAGGAGTAGTCCCTTCTCTCATTGTTACCAACCTCCTTTCCCAAAGCCCAGATGCCCTGAGACTTCTCCACAGAATGAAGAAGTCCTCAACCCATCAGACCCTGTGTACAGGAACTTTCCCAGCTACCTCTATCCAGAGAGACAGATTTAGTGTCAGGGGCTTATAAATTCCTAGGGATTCCAGAGAGTCCTGGGGCACCTACAAGTCCTCCTGGCCACACTGAAGGAGGTTGCGGTAAGTTTCAATTTCCTGCTCCAGCCGTGTCTTGATGTTGAGCAGAAGGCTGTATTCCTGATTCTGGCACTCGATCTCTTCCCGGATCTCAGTGAGCTGAGCCTCCAGGCTACCGATATTCTCCTGCAACTGCTGCAGCTGGCCACAGTAGCGGTTCTTCGTGTCTTCCAAGGACTTCTCCAGGGCCGATTTCTAGGGGGCACAAGGAGGCTATAAAGGGATGCTACATCAGAGCTCCTCCCCTTCCCACTCCTGGGGATCAGGCCAAGCCTTCTGTGCCTCACTCTGGCAGAGGGTCTAGAGCAGAACTACCAACCTTGCTGAGCTGAGACTGCAGCTCAATCTCCATCTCCTGGATGCTGTGCCGGAGCTGGGTCACCTCCCTGTTGTTGGACTCCATCTCCTGGCCACTATTCGTCACCTCCTGCTCCAGCTGACTCATCTGAAAACCCAAGAGCTCAGTGAGAACCAGGCTGGACCAGAGGCTGCAGTGGGGAAGGTTCTGCCCCACTCACTGGGACTTTTGCCTCCAGGACCAAGAGTGAGCCAAAACCAAGGGCATGTCATCCTGAGTTCTGGGTCTGCTAACCAACCAGGGTAATCCAATTCTCTCAACTTAACACTCCCTCTCAGCAAGGCTCCAAGATACTTCACACTTGTACCCACACCACCTTTCTAACCTCATTTCAAACTGACCCCCAAATACACACACACAAGCACACACACACACACACACACATAAACTATAGACCATGCCCTCATGTGCCAGGGTCATGTGCTAGGCACTGGAGGCTCAAAGAGGAAGGGAGTCATCAGAGAGCTCAGCATGGTATAAGAGGCACACCACGTACCTCTACTAGGGTCTGAGAGCATGTAGCCTTACATGAGTTGCTCATGCTCTGCCTTTGTTCACACATGTAATAAACTGTGAGCTTCTTGAGGGCAGCAACCTTATTGGCTCATCTCTGAGACATCAGGACTTCACACAAAACTGGCACTGACAAGCCACTCAATAATCATGTTTGTGGGCAATGACTGAAGCTGGATGGAGGACAGATGAACTGAGAGATGTAGGGGTGGGAGGAGAGAGGGATGGGGTGGAGGAATGGGGGGATTTATGGAAGAAGAGAAGGTTGAATGGGCAGCCCACTCTACTCACCTGAATCTCATATTGCTTTTCAATGTCCCTACGGTTCTTAGCACTGATCCGCTCGTACTCCTCACGCATGTCATTGAGGATCTTGGTGAGATCTTTGCTGGGAGCAGCATTCATCTCCACATTGACATCCCCAGAGTTCTGCCCAGTCAGCTGGCTCATCTCCTGATGGGGATGAAGGGTATATGAGGTCAAGGGGTAGGATCCTCTCCACTACCTTTTAGCCCTCCCCGTCTGCTTCCCCAGAGGTACAAAAAGAGGCAAAGTTCAACCACCAACCGTAGGCACTGCTAAGGAGGCACTGGGAGTGCCCTCAAAAGTCAGTGAGAGGGTGTCTCCCAGGCAATGCCCCATAGCTGTCCCCCCATTGTCCCTGTGCTTCTGTTTCTCCCTCTCCTCAATGAGCCATAAGTAGCCAGGACCATACATCCTCATGATTCTTCTTGAGGGAAATCAGTTCCTCCTGCAGAGACTCAAACTGCATCTCCAGGTCAGATTTTTGCATGGTCAGATCATCCAGCACCTTCCGTAAGCCATTGATGTCCGCCTCTATAGCTTGTCGCATTTGGCTTTCCATCTCAAACCTGCAGACCAGCCATGGGTAGGGAATGAGCAAGAGGGCACAAGTCCCTACTGGGACCTTCAGAGCACTAGGGGGTGGAGAAAAATTGATGACAGCAGAGGGAGTGGCAGCCGGACTCACTTCATCCTGAAATCATCCAACCTCATGCGAGTATTGTCAAGATCCAAGAGAGTCTTATGGTTGTCCACTGTGGTGCTCAGAATCTAAAAAAGGAGGAGACAGCATGGAACCCACACCCACACACCCCTGCTATGACCCACTGCTATGACCCCTGCTTTGCCTGCATGAGAGCAGGCAAAGCCATAAGAGAGGATAGCCCCATCCAGGAAGATGTTTAAAAGGTAGTAGACACTTCCAACAGCTGGTACATGGCACATATCCCTCACAGACTTCAGCAAGGATGTTCAGTGTGATGTTCATTCATTCATTCATTCAACAAATATTGAAGATCTACTACAAAGGACACTGTGGGGTTTAGAGATCCATGAGATACCGCTGTTCAAGAAGCTCAGAGTCAACTACTACATCTGAAGTATCCTAGAAAAGCTCAAGAAAAGGAGAGATAACATATGGCTACGGGAGATCAAGAAAGACTTTGGGGAGGAGGTAGCAACTGACTCCGTCCCTGAAGAATAGCTAAGATTGTTATTGTGAATAAATAGCCGGGAGAGGTTTGGGGTAAGAGAAACAAGACATCCAGTAGCTATTCATCAGAAGTAGTGAAGGTAAGGGGAACAGGCAGGAACAGCAAATTAGCTAGACTGTGAGTTCTTCAAGGACGGAGACCAAGTCTGGTACATCACTTTGTCTGCCAAGGACAAACTGGAGGCAGTCATTAACTAGATTGACTGAATGAATAAATGGATAGACAGACATGTGGATGGTTGGATGGATGGATGAGTGAGTATATAGATGGATGGGTGGTAGGAGGATGAGTAGATAGGGGGAAGGAGGGGAGCATGGAAAAGTAGATAGATTACTTCCATCCCCAGAGTTCTAGATCCTATTCAACACTTAAACAACTAGCATGTGTATCTGGGCCCAACAACACTGGAAAGATCAAGACAGGCCCTTATAGGAACCCATGAGAAGTAGTAAGGAAGGGATACAACCTCTAGTTTTCCAAACTAGAAAGCTCTAAATTGTTAGAGTGAGAGGGGAGACACGCACAGATTATCTCCTCTCTTGAGCTGTATGACCTGCTCCACACAGGATTTTTTTTTTTCATATGATAACAGGGACCTAAGAGCTGGTCTGCTCATCCCTGCCTTAAATGTGTAGGAGGACAGGTCCAGAGAGGGCATCAGGTTTCCCAAGGTCACACAGTGAATTGATGGCAGGCCCAGGACCGCATCACTGGCTCCCAGGGCAGTGCCTCCATCTCTATGCTCCCTTCACACTGCCTCTTCATTCCCAACTTGGGGCCAGGCCAAAAGGAGACCCCCACAACCAGTCCCAGGCTAACCCATGCTAATCTAAGCCTAGCCCCTCTTCTTCCCAGACTCTGAAAGTTGAGAACATGATGAAAGCTCAGAACACAGGCCAAAGTCCCGGCCCTGGTGCCATCAAGAACCAAACACAGTTTGCTTCTGATGAAAGTTTAAAGTTTCTAAAAGATGAATTCTCTGACCATTGTCTAAGCCTGGAGTCTAGCATCTTACCTTTTGGGAAGATAAAGCATGTGTGTGTGTGTGTGTGTGTGTGAGAGAGAGAGAGAGAGACAGAGAGAGAGAGAGAGAGAGAGAGAGAGAGGCAGACAGAGAGACAGAGAGACTAGGAGAGAAAGATCAGGGTTTCCCTGCCTACCTGCTTCTTGAGGTCTTCAATGGTGTCACAGTAAGAAGAGTAATCCCTTCGGGTGGCCCTGGACCCCTCTTTGTTATACCACTGCCGGATCTGAGTCTCCAGTTTACCATTGGCTTCCTCCAGTGCCTGCACCTTATCCATGTAGGAGGCCAGCCGGAAATTGAGGTTCTGCATGGTGGTCTTCTCATCAGCGCCCAGAATACCACCAGCACCACCATCAAAGTTACCGCCAAAGCCCCCAGATCCCCCAAAACCTCCTCCAGAACCACCACCAAAACCAAAGCCCCCTCCAGATCCTCCCCCAAAGCCCCTGGAGCCTCCAAAGCCCCCTCCAGACCCTCCCCCAAAGCCCCCTCCAGAAACAACACTGAAGCCTCTGGAACCTCCACCAAAGCTACCAGCACTAAAGCCACCCCCAGAACCTCCACCGTAGCTGGAGCCAAAACTGCCACCACCTCCCCTCCCACAGGATCCAGAGCGCCCCCCTCCGTAGCCACTGGAGGAGCTGACTCGGCCCCATCCTCCAGCGCCCCCTGAGGCGCTCATGCGGCTGAATGAGGACGCCATGGCGGCCCTGCTGCCCCTGCTGCTCCTGGAGCTGCTCTGGCTCCGGTAGGAGGAGAATTGTCTGCAACTCATGGCTGGCCCTGCTGCAGCTCGTGGGATAGGAAGCAGTCGTCAGAGTGCTGCTAGCTCCCCAGCGCAGGGTACAGAGCTGTCCCCAAGGCTTCCTACTTATACACCCAGCTGAAGGTGGCACGCTTGGGTGTGCCTTCTGTCGGCACCAGCCTCCCCCCACAGACTTGAAGGAGGTCTGCCATCAGGAGGCGGCAGCGCTGCCCCGGGCTCAGCGTCCTTCGGTGACTCCCCAGAGGCAGCCCAGCCTCTCTCCATTGTGTGGGGTAATTTGGTGATATTAGGCTGTCAGGGGCACCATAAATCAGCTCTGCTGCCAAGGGGGTGACCTAGATCCTGGAGTTTGGTCTCCAGCTGGCCCGACGGCAGGTCTGAGACTTAGCCCCTCTGGGATAGGAACTCCTAGGGGTAGAGTCATCTCCTCCCCTGATGGTTATCCATCAATGGTCATCACTGTCTGCACCCCTCCCTGCCCCCACCTTGTGCCCCCTGTGGGTGAGCTAGGACTAAGGACCCTGGGGTCATCCGAGAGGATGAGGGAGACACAGCCCCAGCCTACGGAGAGTTGCCACTGAGGGTGGGAAGCCCAGCCCCTGCCCTCACGGAGCCCAGTCTGATGGGGAACCCGGTCCTTGCTCTCAGAGACTCCAGTCTGATGAAGGAGGCAAATGACATGGCAGAAAGACCAAGGCGGTGACAAAGCAGCATGCCCACCAGCGCTCGGAAATAGCAAGCGGTGTTCACGCAAAGGATGCAGGGAGAAAGACTGGATAAATGCAGTGGTGCTGAGGCTGGCTGACCTTGGAGCAGGAACGCAAGGGGCTCCACTCTCCTGGTCCTTCAGCAGCGCCCAGCAGTGGATATGGAATTGACCTTGGTTGACTGCCTAGCCCATACTGAGCCCTGAGGGATACAGAGATGGGTGACTTTCTGTCCAGCCCCCCTGGAATGTGCAAGCCCCCTGCTCCCGGCAGAAAGTCAGAAGCGTGTTCTGGTGAGCAAGGCCAGCAGACAGCGGTAAGAAAGGCAGTGGGCTCTGGTGCCGACTACCTGAGTCAGCCCCAGCTGCCCGTATGACTCTGCCAAGTTATGTAAGTACTCGGTGCCTCCATTCTCTCCTCTGTCAAAGGACAATGTTAATGGTGTGTCCATCTCCTAGGAAGAGACGCAAGAGAAGGCTCCAGAAATGGTTTGACTGCCTCTGATCATTCAACCCCAGAAGCCCTCTGGACTCTGCCCCCTCCTGGATCTTTACTTGTCAGCTCGCAGCGGCTCTCTCTCCCTTGCTCAGTTCTGACTCCTCCTCTGGGGAAGGTGGTCTTTCCCAACCTGACCACAGTTCTCCACCCTTCCCTTCACCCCCAAAAGAAGATCCACACTCTTGACACACTCAGCCCATGCCAATCATTCCATTCCAGCCAGATCTGCCACCATTCCCCAGATCCCCTAACCAAAGCATGCAACGCTCCCCAACACCCTTCAGGTCTTAGATAGTGCTCAGGGCTTCCAGTTTGCTCCATTCCAAATACCCCTTCATATTTTCAACCCAGAGACTCCTACTCATCTCTAGCAAACCATCTGCGTGCCCCCTCCTCCAGGAAGCCCTCCTGCGTTCTCTCCCTCTGGCTTTGCACTTTGCTCCATTGCAGCTTCCCATGCTTGTGCATCTTGTACTTGTCCTGGTGCCCAGCACTGTGTCTCTCCCAAGTAGGATCCCAACACAGATGGAATAAAGGAAGGACATCCGGTCATTTCCGTTAAGAGGTGCTAAGAGCTGAAAGAGAAATAAAGGTGAAAAGAAAGAGACTGGGGTGGTCAGCAACAGCTCTGGAAAAGGCAATGACCTCTGCACTGTAGCTAAAGGGTGCTTAGGCTTCATAAAGGACCTGTGTTTCTTGAGATGCTTTTAGGCAATGCACAGAGACTCTGTTAAATAATAGAGTCACATGGTGAGAAAACCCCTTTTTCTATTTTTCAATTTTCTGATCAGTCAAGGAGAAAATCTCAGTTGAACCCTATAGCCCCTTCAACACCCCTCTGTAATTGCTAATCACCTTTTAACAGACCAAAGCTGGCCTTGGGCTCAGAATCTTCAGGAAGCAACAGTATCTAGATAGGGGTTAAGTATTTATTTTTATCATTTCCTTCCATTTCTGGCAAGTGATTCTGATTTTCATTTTTTGGTACTAACAGAGTAATATAGGATTTCCTTCATAAACATGTATTTGTTGAGAGCTGGAGCAGCTGGGTGGCTCAGTTGAATGTCCAACTCTTGATTTCAGCTCAGATCATAATCTCAGAGTTGTGAGTTTGAGCCCCAAGCTCAGCTTGGGATTCTCTCTCTCTCTCTCTCTCTCTCTCTCTCTCTCTCCCTCTCTCTCTCTCTCCCTGTGCCCCCTCTCTCTTGCTCATATACTCTTTCTCTTTTTCTCTCTAAAATTAAAAAATGAGGGACACCTGGGTGACTCAGTTGGTTAAACCTCCGACTTTGGCTCAGGTCATGATCCCAGAGCTCATGGGTTCAAGCCCCACATTGGGCTCTGTGCTGACAGCTCAGAACCTGGAGCCTGCTCCAGATTCTGTGTCTCCCTCTCTCTCTGCTTCTCCCCCGCTCACACTCTGTCTCCCTCTCTCTTTCAAAAATAAATAAACGTTAAAAAACATTTTAATAAATAAGGTTTTCAAAAAGACATGAAAGGTGAGCTGATGTACCAAGACACATTAACTATTTAAATGGGCAGCACAAAACATTACTATTAAATATAAAATAAAACATTAAACAGGTAGTACATAAAATATTGAAGGTGTTTCTTGAATGCCTAACACACAGGAAACTTTTAGACTGAAGTTGGTGCAAGTGTGCTGCTTGCAAACCTTTCCCGGGTTCCTGCCAAGCTCTGCCAGTGAGCCAGCACCTGCCATGTGTTTTGGAGCCCTGGGGGACCCTTTTACCTCGTCCCCTGATCCCCATGTGATGCTGCCACTCTGGGATGCAAACCCCAGGTCTCTGTGCCCGAGCTGGATGGAGGAGGGGCCGGCGCAGCCAGGGTGAGCAGGGGAGGCAAGAGCCAGCAGAGCGGCACCTCTAGGGCCCTGCACATGCGTCCTCTGCAAATGGGTTTGTGCTGGGGGCTCCTAAGCGTCCGTGCCTGACTGTGTCGAGGCAGGTGAGACCTGCCTGCCTGACCAGAAGGTCCCAGCTGGGGAACCTCTGCCCAGCTGGCTCTTGTGAGAGATGACTCATACCCAGCCCTGTTCCCGAGCCCTCCATCCCCTGTCCCCAGCCTCCCCTCCCTGCTCTCCGGAATGGCCCTAACCCTCACTCAGCTCAGAGCAGCACACTGTAATCCTCACATTTCCACTGTGGCTACCCAGGAAGGCTGGGTCCCCTGTGGGGACACCCATCTCCCGGGGGACCAGCGAGGCAAGGACTTAACAGTCCATGAGCTCCAGGCTGACTGTCACCTCTGGCGGCCCCCTGAATTTCAGACTTCTCTGGCCAATTTTCTCCCTGCACTGAGGGAGCCCTGGTCACTGCCAGCTCCCCTCCCTTCCCTGAGTGCTAAGACGTCCAGGCCTCTCTCCCCGCTCTGGGCCGCCCCTGCACATCTTCTCCAGTGCCTGCTACCCTCTCCTGAGCCCTTGCTCTCTCTCTGCTCTCTCCATCTGACACGCCTCACTGGGGCTCAGGGAAGGAGTGGTGTGGAGAAAGGACTGCCTCCCAGCCCCCTTTCCCTACCCTGGGGCCTTGGCTTGTTTCTTTATGAGAAGCCCTTCCATATACAAGTGTCAGGGGCCATAAACACAGTGCATGCGTCAGGGCCATCTGGAGGGGTCCCTGGATGAATGCCGCTACCCCCATGTGCGGCCATGCCCCCCTCGCCTCCTGGTCCTCTCCACATCGGGCCCTACTTCCAATGCCAAGAGCAGCTTGCTACGCTGGGCAATCCCACGCCCCGGAAATGAGGCCCTCCTCCAGTGGCCTCTGGGCACCGTCCCTTCCCTCCGCCAAGTTCTGGCACCGGGACCCAGATTGGGCAAGATCAGTTCGGGGACAGAGGAGGCTGTCGGAGCCCTGGCCTGAGTGAGCGATTTCTTCTGGGCCGCGTGACCTGGCTCGCTCTCCTACCCTCTCAGGGTTCAGGGGTGGCCCTCTGAGTCCCGCCTCAACCACCTCCTGCAGGAAACCTCCAGAGCATGAGTGAGAAAGGGTGCACAGGCAGCTCAGGGCAACCGGCGCCTGGGACCCAGGGAGGATCGGGGTGCCTCTGCTGCCCCGCGAACAAGACTGCCACCTGCACCCGCAGCTCCAGCCCCCACAGCACAGGCCCTGCCTACAGAGGGGGAGTGGGAGGGAAGGAGCTGCTCCGACTCAGGCAGACAGACGAACAGACAGGGACCCAGATTCCACCTACGAGGTGTCCCCACAGGGCAAGTGTTAAGGGGACTGCGGTGAGGGGACAAGTACAGGCTTCCACTGGCCACGAGAGCCCTGCTGCTTGCCTGCAACCAGTCACTCACACCTGCTGCATCATTGAGCCCCAGGTGGGGCCCAGGGAGCGCCCTGAGTCATCGTGCGTGGCTGCTCCGGCAGGCGGGCGGGGCGCGTGGGCTGCCCCTTATTGCCTATCTAGGCAGGGACTGCCCACTGGCTCGGTGCCAGGCGCCTGCACCTGTTCTGTCTAATTCTTTCCTCACACGTTAGGTGCCTGCCACCACCCCACCTTAGCCAGACCCCATTACACCAGGGGCCATGGCGAGGGTGCCAGGGCATACCTGGCAAAGAGGCTCAGGGCACTAGCTTTCGGAGCCAGACAGCTGTGAGCTAAAGCCAAGTTCTCCCACTCATTTGGAGAAAGTTGCTTCCCCTCACTGAATCTCAATTTCCTCACTGTAAATTTGGATTTATCGTTTCTTGAGTACTTACTATG